AAAAAATGGGTGTCAAACGAGGTCTTAGTAACTGGAACTTCTTTTCTTTTAGCCTAGTACTAGTAGCTTGTTGATTAGAAGACCTCCTGACATGACATTTAGTCTTCGTCAACCATTACTTTTCCTTGCGAGCTAAGCTACTTAGTCTAGTATAAAGGTGTGTGAAAGGATGGCCATTTTCTAATAGAATCTCTTTTGCTGGCCGTTTAAATTTTCGAACACATACGAGATGCCGAAGAACAAGGGAAAGGGTGGTAAGAATCGCAAGAGAGGGAAGAACAAGGCTGATGATGAGAAGCGTGAACTTGTGTTCAAAGAAGAGGGACAGGAATACGCTCAGGTTTTGAGGATGTTGGGGAATGGCCGATTAGAAGCTATGTGCATCGATGGCGTCAAGCGTCTCTGCCATATCCGTGGTAATATGCATAAAAAGGTCTGGATCTCCGCCGGTGATATCATCCTCGTCGGCCTCCGCGACTACCAGGTATTGATACATTATTATTATTGTCATCATCTGTTCATGGACTTATTTGTGTTAATTACTGTTTTGATTTTTCTAAATTTGAAGAAATTGATATCTTTGGTTAATATAATTTTGGCTTTGGCGAATTTATGGTTCAATATAGTGTCCTTTTCTCCGTTTTCTCTTTTCAATTTGTTGAAACTGAGTTTTTTACTTCTATAGAGCTCAACAGTTTGGTTGAAGCAAACAAAACGCAGTTTTGAATTCATAAATTTCCCTTGGTGTGGTTATTGTTTTTAGTTATATTTGGGAAAATTTGTTATTAGATTTTCTGATTTTTCTAAATACCGCAACCATCTGTTTTAGTTTGTTCAAAGAAGGATAGTAGAGAAACGTTATGCAAATAAAAGTACATGTTAAAAGAAACTGGAGAAATTATCAGCTCTTGTTTTGTTCGAATCTAAATGAAAGAATTTTCCGATTTCAAATTCTGAGGCTTGTATGATTCAATCAGGACGACAAGGCAGATGTAATCCTGAGGTACTTCGCATATGAAGCCCGGTTGTTGAAGGCCTATGGTGAGCTGCCGGAGAACACGATGATCAATGTGGGTATTGCTGGTGGACTTGGCGAGGAGGACGATGGTGCTGGTTATGATTACATTGAATTTGAAAATCCAGAGACTTCGTACGTAAGAGATCGGATTTATGATACTTTCGATGATGTTTAAAATTAGAGGGGTGTACCATCTTGTTTGTAACTAACGTTTGAAATCATTCGTGCGTATGTTTTTGTATATATTACCAGTGAACGTCACATGGATGCAATAATATATGGAGTTTTCTTTTTCATTTCTTATCCTTGTGTATAGCTTTTCAAATGGGAAATTTTTGTGTGTCGATTGTGTTCGTGTAATTACACACTATTTTAAATTGCTTTCAAATGGTCACTGAACTTGTACAAGTTACACTCCATTTATCACCGCAAAGTTATCATTCCCTTCTTTTTGATTCATAGTGTATAATACTATATCAGATGCTAAATTCCTACAGCCTGCAGATTGCTTAATTATGAGGGATAAAATGCAATTGATTATCAAGATTACATCCTCAACTAGAGAATTAAAAAACTAATATATCAATTTATTCAGTAATTAAATGAATCTCAATGAGCATTGAAGATGGGACTTTTGAAGCCAAATCAATCCAAAATCAACACGAATTTTTCAGGACTTCACTAAGTCCACCACACATTCTCACATCAATCACTATTCCAAAATTTCTATTCTCCTCAAAATTATATTCAAACACACCCTAAATGTACATTAAGGATTATATAACGCACAAATAACATTATGTAATTGATGTAATATTTGATATACAAATAGAATAATCATTTTTAGGTCGGGTGTGCTAAGAAATATAATTAAATTCAATCCAGTCAAATCAATCAGAATTTTGGAAATTAAATTCAGTGCTGTGCTGATCATTCGGATCATCAAAAAATGCATGTTGATATATGGGACTATGGAAGGGTTGAGTTAAAATACGTGTAACGAAAATCGTTTTGGTGCTGTATTAATAAAATCAGTAGACTAGATTGTCCGGAGATGTTTTTGATTATGATAGCAAAGGTTTTAAACTCATAAGATTATGTGCACTTATAAGGTAAAATGTGTGGTCCAAGTGGAAGATTGTCGAAACATAATTTGTTATGTGAACCTACATAAATAATTAATTATGTATTAAAGATTATATCAAGGATAAGTTGTATTTTATGATGACCAAAATACATATTAAAAAATGGTTATTGTTCACAATTCTTACATAAAAAAAAATTAAAGAGGAAGATCAAGAATTCGCAACTATCTCCGTTTCCATGGATCAAGGTACGCTTTCACTTTTATTATCTTGTTAATTTGCGCGGGTTAACGGAATCAATATAAGATGAGAAATACTTGGTGTACATCATGGGTAACAGTCCCCTCACATAGGAGGTGGGGCCTGCAATTTTAAAAATCAAGGGCCCCATCCCTACATGAGCGGGCTGTCAAACTGAGTGTACACCACTCAACATTATTCATATGAGATAGTCTACGTTAAGATGGAAGGGTCCGTTGGGAACCCTCTGAAATGGATCTTTAGTACCTTGCAAGCTTTGAGAATAGGAATTGGAACTTCTTTTCTTTTAGTGTGTGTTTGTCTTCCATTATTATAGAAGAAATTGAGTAATGCATAGTATTTTTTGGAGCATGTGTGATTGAAATTTAAAGTAACTTTATTGGTTTGTGTGTAGAATATTTTATGGGTGTTTGACACCCATTTTTGAAAATGTGTTTTTGAATAGTGATTGATGGAAGAATATGTGGTTAAAAAGTAAAGAGAATTTTTAGGTTTATGTGTAATATTATTTTATTGATAGAATGTGTGGTTGAAATGAAGAAAGAGAAAAAGAATGAGAATGAGAAAAAAATGGGTGCCAAACGGGGGGCTTTATTAA